TATGTCTCAAATATAATTTTGAAACTCACAATCATCCTCCTGCCTCAGCCTCTGAGAGCTGGGATTACAGGCAATTGCCACCATACCCAGCTCTAGAAGGTATTAATAAGGTAGTTTACAGTTTCATTCTTTGCATTAAGTCTTTGGAATGTGATGTGTCCTTTACACAGAGCATCTCAGCCAGAGCAAGCCAGCTGTGGCCAGCTTAGCTTCATACTACAGAGGTCAGGGAAAATGCTGCCGACCACCAACTGTTCTTTTCAGATTCTCTGTATCCCTCTCTATAGAACAGTCTGGTGTGTGGTGACCTGCTGGACCCAGTGGCCCAGGTCTTCATGGTTCCACCCAGTGCCTCTTGCCCTCCCTACCAGAGGGACACCTTTCAGAAGATTAGAAGTAAACACATAAACAGGATGATGGATTCTCTATGAAAATGAAGAATTTTTATGAAGGAAGATACCTAGAACACAGCAAGAACCCCAGAGAAGCTCAATGACCTAATTTCCCCCCGCCTGGATAGGACCTTCTTCAGGTTCTAGTTCCCAGTGGGGCTGCCCAGGGAACCAGCCTTCAAGGATCCTTTGAAGAACTTCGTAACTGTCATTCATATGGTAGTACAAGCACAGTGCTGAGCACTAACCATTAGTATAGAATTCAATCACTTCCTGAATTGATAAACAGCCAAGAGGCCAGGGCCAGGAATGTGGGAAATGCCTAGAATCCCAGAGTTTAGGAGACAGAGGCAGGAAGACTAGGGGTTGAAGATCATCCTCAGTTACAAAGGAAGCTGGGGGGGGGGGCGGCTACATAAGACCCTGTCTCTAAAACAAATATAGCAAGAAGCATAGAAAATTTTTAGAAAACCAAGCAGCCATATTATCAGACAGTAGAAAATACTGCTGAACACATTCTTCATGTGGATAAAAGTACCACTTATGGGCCAGGTGTGGTGGCACACGCCTTTAATCCCAGTACTGGAAGGCAGAGGCAGGCAGATCTCTGTGAGTTCAAGGCCAGCCTGGTCTACATAGTGAGTTCCAGGACAGCTGGGGCTACAGGGAGACCCTGTCTCAAAAAAAAAAAAAAGTACCACTTATTTCTAAACATTTTAAAATTCCAGAAGTAACCCAATAATACACTTTCATTATTTTGAATTTAAATGTCTTTACTGAGCCCTCTTTCTCCATGTTTAGTTTCACTTACTGGAAAAGGGTTCTAGGTGTTTCAAAGTGTTATATACAGGAATTGTTCTCCAAGTTTCACAGCAGAAGTTTCACTTGAAAATGACTACAATCCAAACAAACTCTTGATGTGGACATAGATTAGGAGAGATGTCAAAGTTTAAACACATTTTTTTCTGGGGGCTGGAGAGATGGCTCAGAGGTTAAGAACACTGTCTGCTCTTGCAGAGGAGCTGGGTTTGGTTCCTGGCACCCACATGGCAGCTAACAACCATCTGTAACTCCAGCTCCAGGGGATCTGATGCCTTCTTCAGACCTCCATGGGCACTGTACGATATGGGTGCACTTATATACAGGCTGGCAATACATTCATATACATAATAAAAATATTAAAAAATATATATTTTAAAAAAACGGTATTTTTCCTGATTCTGCCAGACAGGACACACAGTATCCTTTGTAGTCCTTCAGAACTGCAGCAAAAAGCCCCAAATGGTCAAGGCAGTCAGCGGCAAAAGAGCAATGCTGTTGGTAACACGATTCCTCATTGCTGCTAACTGAACATGGTGTCACACTGCCTTCTAAATTCACATCTCTACCCACAGATTAGTGCAGCTCTCAGACCTCACCAGAGACGTTTCTTTGTGCAGAGCCATGGTCACTGAGTCTGAGTTAGGTGATTTAGATAGCACTAGGCTCTTCTGGCACTGGCTCAACATGACGCTTTCTTTGGCAAAGTTCACACCCAAGAACCAAGCAATCAAATTCTGAAAAAGATCAACACACACAAAATCTCCCAACATTTTAAGTATGTTTATGATTTTTGTGTTGGGCTGCATTTGTATCTATTTTGGGGTGCATGCTGCCTGTGGGCCACAGGTTGCACATGCCTTTACATGTTTTTTTTTTTTTAAAAAAACACTTATTTATGTATTTGTACGTGTGTGTGTGTGTGTGTGTTGTGTATGTGTAGGCATGTCATGCCACAGTGCAAGTGTGGAGGTCAGAGAACACCTTTCAGGAGTCAGTTCTCCACCAGGTGAGTGGGTTTGGGGGATGGAACTTAGGTCATCAGTCTTGGCAGCAAGCACCTTTACCTGCTGAGTCATTTTGCTGCCCCACTCCTTGCATTTTATTTTTGAAGAGATTGGGCTTCACTATTTGCCAAAGCTGGCCTTGAACTTCTGAGCTCAAGAAATCTTCCTGCCTCAGCTACCCAGCTGTTTTACCCTCCCCTCTTGGCTTGCTGACACAAGATCTTGTGTCTCATACAGCCCAGGTGAACCTCAAAACTCCGTATGTAGCCAAAGATGACTTTAAATGTCAAATCCTCCTGCCTTCACCCCCAGGAATTACAGGCATGTGCCGCATCTGGCTTTTTTTTTTTAATATATTTTATTTTATGTGTATGCGTGTATTGCCTGCATGTAGGTAAATGCATCCATGTCGTGCAATGCCCGTGGAAGACAGAAGAAGCAGTCAGATCCCCTGGAACTGGAGTTACAGACAGTTGTTAGCTGCCATGTGGGTACTGGGATTTGAATCCGGGTCTTCTGTAAGAAGAGTTGGTGTTCTTAACCACTGAGCAATCTCTCCAGCCCCAGGCTTTTTGTTTTTCAAATAAACAATATGAGCAAATGTTTTAGAGCATCAGGCACAGGAGTCAGTCAAATTAAAGAAAGGCAGGGGTCAGTCCCTGAGTCTGTGAGACTCAGGTGCTGTGAGAACAAGGTGGAGTTTCGTTTCACCAAGTGCTAGAAACACCAATCTCTCCAATGCTTCTTCACTTTTTTTTGGTCTTTTTGAGGCAGGGTCTCTCTGTAGCTCCAGCTGGACTGAACTCCACTATGTAGACCAGGTTGGCCTTGAACTCACAGAGATCTGCCTGCCTCTGCCTCCTGAGTGCTGGGATTAAAGGTGTGCACCAGCTTTCTGTATTCACTTTTAATTTTTAAATTTTATTTATTTTTAGTTTATGCGTATGAGTATTTTGTTTGCATGTATGTGAGTGCACTCATGTTGTACAATGCCCATAGAGGCCAGAAGAGGGCATTGGATCTCCCGGAACCGAAGTTACAGATAGTTGTGTGCTACCATGTGGGTGACAGGAACTGAACCCAGATCCTTTGCAAGAGCAGACAGTGCTCTTAACGCTGAGCCATCTCCCCAGCCCCTATGCCCACTTTTAAAAAATCTCACAGCTAAGGGCTCGGGGCTAGAGTCTGGCTTGGTGATAGAACATTTGCATGGCATACTCAAGGTCCTGGGTTCAATTCTAACTCACACACTCATGTGTGCACACACACAAACACAATCACACACAGCCACATTCTCTATTAACCACCATTCTCTCTACCAGTGACCATCCCCTTGTCTCTTTTTACCCACCCCCACCCCAAATCCACAATATCTTTGCCCCCCCTCCCCGCGCAAACCCACTTGGATTTCTCAGCTGCTTGTCTCTGTTACCACTAATTTTCCACAATTACCTCTCCCTGCTAACAACCGCCCATCAGTTGCTCACTGACTTTACCTTCACTTCCCTGACCAAGGTAGTGGCCTGGATCTTCACACAAGGGACAAGAAGAGGGCAGCATCTGAGCCCCACCTATCCAAAGTCCAAATGGCCCAGATGTGGGAAGAAATACGATTAACTTCTGTCACCTGTAGAAGACGCCAATTATTTCTGTCATGGGAGCGTGGTGTTGCCAAGTGCTCTGACATCATTATCAAATGGAAAGACAAACTAAAACTGTAACGCTTCCTACTTTCAGTACTGGGGACTGAGCTGTACCTGAAGGTGGCTGGGTAGTTTGTCACCTGTAAAGTTTCTGTCCCTGCCTCTGCTAAGATGGAGTCCTGTCCCCAACTGCTCTGGTGAGGCAGTCAGGAAACTTAGCCCCTCGGAGATTCCACAGCCTCCCCGAAACAGTCAGGACTAGCACCTGCTTTCTGCCCTTCTGCCCCAGGCCACTGGCATTACCTCCTGCAGCTTGACCTCCTCGGGCTGAAGGATGTCCAGTATCCCACTACTTCGGATCTCGGGAAGGTCCTGCCAGAGGTTGAACCTGGAGTGGGGGTTGCTGAGCAGGCAGATCTGGGGCAGAGCCCTCCTCTCGGCTGGGCTAGCTGGCTCTTCCTCCTCTTCCTCCTCTTCTTCTGGGGTGTCTTCCTCAGCTGGGGACCCACCCTCACTGCCTTGTATTTCTGCATCCTGCTGCCTCCGGGTTTCAATTTCTTGGAGTGTTGATTTATCTCTGTATTCTTGATACAAGAGCCCTGAGATCAAAGAGTTGTAACAAAGACAAGAACAGGATGTCAGATTAAAGGTTGGCACAAATCCCCACGCACACACAGAGAAAGCCAGCATGTGCTAGGCCTTAGCAGCAGGCCCTAGCCCTGCAGCATAGGCCGCCTGTTGCCTTCACCTCTAGGGAAGGTCAGCATGTATAAGTTTCTTCTGGGTAGCTACAGAAATCCCTGAGTAGATTCAAAATTGCTTTCTCCCCACACACTGGGAAGGAGAACATAGACCTTGATGTGTTAAAAAGCATGTATGCAAAGTTGATGGAAATGTCCCAGTTATGTTTTAATATCCTAGCAAGGTCCTTACCCCAGCCTTAAGTGCCTCAGGATTAAAACTCAAGTCTGTGCATCTCTGAACTGGGAGCAGTTGTGAGTTTTCATGTTGAATCAGTGTCTCATCAACCTTGAGCCCAAAGGGAACTGTTACTCCTGTCACTCAAACTTGTGGGTGTATTCCCTGACCAATTTGAAAACAAATGCAATCTAATTTTCAGGGGAGATTAGGGGTGTGGATGAATCAGTGCAAGCACAGCACCTTATAGGCAAAACTCCATTTGGGATGTCCCAACTGCAGAGCAGAGGGACTGTCCCTCCACCCAGCCTGGCAGGGACAGGTAAGGATGACAATGCCTGCTACCAGGAGAGTGGAACAGGGCTGCCTGCCCTAAGAGTCTCATTGGATTTGCCATGGAGACAAAACTGTGCCCTGAAGGCCACGGGCGACTGCAGGCAGGCTGATGTGTCTGTGTGGGTGATGGGAAGACAGAGGCCATGGTGATTCTCGGGACTGCAAGGACCAGGGCATCAATGAAGTGGGGGCAGGGAAGAGTCAGAGCCTGGGGTGGAGGACAAGCCCCAATAGCTGACTGGTGTTTTATCATGAACAATACCCAGGTAACCAGTTTGGCAAGACCAGCTGATGGCATCATTGGCAGAGATGGAGCAGAGGGCTAGGGTGATGGGGAAATGGAGGTGCACGTGGGGCATCAAGGAGAAGCCCCAGTGGACTGTGGACATGCTGTCCTGGAGCTTGAGCCCCTGGATCTGTCCATCTACAAAGCAAAGCTGCTTTTCCCAGGAAAGTTCCAGTAAGGCTAAGTGGGTTCCTTGCAAAGTCCTTGCTTCTGTGGCAGCATGGACGTGATCTGTCATTGTTTTCCATGCAGCTTTGTTAAGTCTGTCTAAATAGTAGGAGAGGGAAAGGAAAGAGAAACAGACCATGGCAATCCTGACAGTGGCTGGACAGATTATATTCATGAGCCTCACAAATTCACCCTGTGGATTAAGTTAGTTGCTTCTGATGCTCCCTAACTCCACATGATGAAGAATTTACGTAAGGCAACCCTGCCTTCAGATGTGTAGGATCTCGTGCTTCTAAGGTTCTCCCATCCAGCAGAATGCAAGATGAAGCTCATTGGCCAAAGGGATAAGAAAGATCAAACCAAACTCAACTAGGTTGACACTACAAAGACTGACCAATGTCGCCACAGAAATAGTTCGATTGTGAGCACAGACAGTGACTGTTTCCTCTAAGCGCATTATTATTTATGTGTATGCCCGTTCATGTGTGCTGGAGTGCACTTGTGTCTGCAAGTGCACATATACACACACGTGTGTGGCAGGCAGAGGACAACCTCAGGTAACATCTTTCAGGAGTCACCCACCTTGTTTCTTTGAGACAGGGTCTCTCAGTGACCCTGAGCTCGCCAACTAGGCGTGATGACTGACCAGCAAGTCCCAGGGATCCTGCTGTTGCTGCCTCCCGGCACCAGGATTATAAGCATGCATCGCCAATGCCTGGATTTTATGTGAGTTCTAGTGATCAAACTCAGGTCCTCAGGCTTGTGTGGCAAACACTTTCGTACCTCCCCAGCCCTCCAAACTAATTATTATCCCAAGATTCCATCAGCATTTACAGGGGCTTCCTCAGGATAACCCAGGCTCGCTTTCTAAGACTTAGCACAGTGGGTGATCAGTTATCTCAGTCATGGGTTGAACACCTTTTAAAACTGCCAGTTCTAAGCTTCATGAAAAACTCTAACTTAGCATGCTCTGAAGGCTCAAAAACACGTCCTATGCCACAGCCAGCAAGCTGTGAGCAAATACTACCTCAAAGTTCTCAGTGTACATGTGCTGGAAGGAGACAAAAATACCAGCTCTGTGGGTAGCTGTGTTGAAAACGATATTTCTGAAAGCACATGGCTGTGGACACCACCTCTTCTAAGTCCCCTCCCACCTGATTCCCAGCGGGAAGGGGAGGGCTGGTATGGGCCAGCCATTCTGTGCCCTGGGGAAGTGGGCATGGACTGATGGAGGCTCTCACCAGTGGCGGGTCCAGGTTCCTGTATTGGACACCACCGGGCCACTGAGGTCTGAATTCTGGCACTCCTCCCTGCCCCATGCATGTGCTGGAATCTAGTTCATGTGCTTGGTGTCTTGGTCCCTCCTGTAGCAATGGTGATGGATAGCCTTGTAGAAGGTAATTCAGTGACAGAAGCATCATCTCTTAAAGGTTTCCACCAGAGCCTTAGATCAAGAGCAGGTTGTTTTAAAATCAATGGCCTGGCCCTGAACCTCTCTGGCATCCCTCTTGGACATTCTTTTTGATGCTGTCCCCTGTGGGTGGCATGGTCCTCCCTAGGGCCAGCAGACACTGGTGCCCTGCTCTTAGACATAGAAAATGTGAGCTAAATAACTTTTCTGTGTAAAGTGCTGAGCCTCAGCTATTTTGTCATAGCAACACAAAATGAACCAAGACATCTAGCCTAAACTATTTTATTATAGGTATGGATTAAGGTACTGTCCAAAGAAACATAAAAAGGAGATATTTCTAAGGGTTTCTTAAAAAGTTATCGCCTCCCAATATATGTGGAGACAAACTGCCCTTCCTGCTTTTACAGGCCTTGGTTTAAAGAGCTGTGACCGCCACTCTGTGACACAAAACCCAAATAAAGGAGGGAATGCAGCAAAGACAGATAGATAACGGTGTGAATCAACAAACCAGCAACAACTTTCAACCTCTTGACTCCTTAAATGAGATAGACCACTATCCTTGGGGAAGAACCTTTACTAGAGAGTCTGTTACTTCAGCTAAAGGCTCTCAACACAAGTCACGTTAAAACTCTTAAAAAGGCTGCACACTTTTTTTTTTGAGATATATATTTAGAATATGAATTCAAGCTCTGCTTCTCCAGGAGTTACTGTGATTATCTAACATACCACATAACCATTTTTCATAATTTTTCATTTTTATTTGCCTTAAACTCAATTTCCATACAAATAGAGTAGATTTATCTCAGGAACTGTTATCTGATGAAACTTCTGTGTTCAACGAGCTGTTAATATATCATAGTTTGCTGTCTCCTAAAATTTGTACCTTTGGTGAGCACAGTTTTATGTGGACATTAACTGCCTGTAAAAGTTTGTGCATAGATTGAAGTACAGGGCTGGAAGGCTTAGCTCCCACCTCTTAAGAGATCTGGCCACATTCTATAGAAGGGAAATCCCCAGCTCCACTGACCAGAGCATCATTCACAAGCTGTCTTCTTGAAGAGAAAAGTGTCTTTCCTTTAAATCTTCCAAGCCTATTTGTAAAGGACAAGCCACTCACTTAACATGCAACTTCCGTGTACCAATCATGCCAGGTGCTAGTGACAACACGCAGACACACTCAGGCTTGCACACAGCTGTTCACAGGCTCTCACAGCAGCAGCCACCTGTGCTGACAGTCGCACAGTGTATCACACACAGTCCTGACATAATTCTTTCGGGCCTTTGTGGTGGCCACTACAAACCCCAACACATTGGTCCACAAAAACTGCCCATAAGCCATCTTCTGCCCACTGAAAGAACCTGTCCTCTGATACTAGGCAACAGGTCAAGAGCTCTCACAGGCTGAAAGCAGAGAGACTTTGAGAGACAGGGTGAGCCCCTCATGGTGCTGAGACCTACAGAGCCAGGAAGATGTCCCCCCATGGCTGGCAGATACTGGCAGAGAGCACCGGGCAGGGAAAACCAATAGCAGAGGTCCTGCTGTCTACCACACAGGAGGGTGAGGTTGGTGACGGCCAGGTAATAGGCTCAGGACCTCTGACTCGCAGTATGGAGCTTATACTGCTGGCCCAATGGGGCAGTGACTCTGAAAAGTGAACCTCAAGGTCCCCATAATATGGCAGCCAGGAACCTGAGGGGCACCTGCTCCTTTCTAACTGGGAGATCTTTCCCAGCCCCACCCCTGTGACATGAGCCACCTAGGTGGCCTTCCAGAAGTGTGAGTGAGCTGTTTTCACCCTAGACTAAGGCAGAAACAGCTCCCAAAGGGGGAGAGACAATCTGGGGCACAGAGTGGAGAGAAGGGGGCCTCAGTATTAACTGGGGACAGTTTCAGAGCAGTCTCTCCACCCTCAGCATCCTCAGCCCAACTGGTAGAGGGCAATAGACAGTATTAGAGGCAGTGCCAGATTCGCCACACACAGGCAATGCTCCACCTCAGCTCTGGCTCCCTCCTCCCAGGGCTGGTGCAGGAGGAGGCTCCCTGCCAGGAAAGTCAGGCCTAAGAGGTCTTGCCACTGTTGGGTCCCCTCCACCTCTTCATTTCCCTCTCACCATTTAGCACTGGAAGATGATCACTGTATATCTGGGGGAGTGTGGAATGGCAACTTTTTTTTAAAAATCTAAAAATGTTTATTTAAAGAGTAGACTGCTGATTGCTCTGGCAACATCCATGAATATTTTCAAAGCAGACAGCATCATTTTCAGATCTACAGAAACCACTGACAGGTTTGATACCGGTGGCATTTTTTAAAGTACAAACGCTTGAGTTCTTGGGACACCCTCTCTATCTACCAAATATACACAATGCTTACTTGGAAGACCCTCCGGTGCTGTTCCCTTGGGTCCCCCTGGGGACACTTTTCCTTCTCTTCCTACTGGGGGCATCAGGCACCCTTGTTACTTTCTTTCCCACTTGCACAAAGTCAGCCCAGCCAGCCTGGCCCTGCCCAGAGCTCCTGAACACAGCTTCTCCTCCAGGCTACCTTCCAGATCCTTCCAGCCTTCGCAGTTAAAGGCGGAGCAGGATCAAAACCCACTGCTAAAGCCAGGTGTGGTGTATCAAGCTTGTAAACCCAGCACTGGTGATGCTGATGCCGAAGGACTGTGTCGCTCGAGGTCCAGACCAGCTCGGGCTACCTAGTGAATTCCAGGCCAGCCAGGGCTACAGAGTGATACCCTGTCTCACAAAAACAAAATAAACAAAATAAAATCCTCTGCTAAATGAGCCCAGCGGTGCAGCACTAATAATAAGCTGCAGTTTTGCCTACAGAACCATTTAGAACCATGCACGTCAAAGGCCGTGTCCCAACCCTGGAGCCAGGGGCCCCAAGTCTACCCGGCTCATACGTGTCCCAACCAGCCCTACGGCCGCCAGGGACCCACCTATTTGTTCGATGAGGTTTTTCCAGGAGTCCGAGGGAATGGGCTGGATCATCTGGAGGGCCTCGGTGAGCGTGGTGGGGCTTTCGGCAAGGGCCGGGCACTCCTCGGGCGTGGTCCCATTTCCCGGGGTGGAGGACGCCTCGCTGCCAGAGAGGGAGGAGGGCGAGGGCTGGTTATTTTTAAAGCAACGACACACCTTGGCCAGCTCGCAAGAGGCGCCCGTCGGCACCAGCGGCGGCTGGCCAGGGGCACTGCCCTGCGCGCGTCCGAGCCCAGGGGTCACCGTGACGGCCCCGCGTCCGGCCCGGGCGGGTCCCACAAGCCCTTCTTTTCCCCACGCCAAGGCGCGATGGGGTGATTCACTCCCACACCAGCCCGCCCAAACCTTCATGTTTTTGGAGCTCGCGGGCAGGCGTCGGAAACTTGGAGTGCCCTGGCCGCTCCGTGGCACAGAAAGACCGCCCCGACGGCGCCCCCCAAAACCCTGAGCCCACCCGGTACCCCTCGTCTTCATGCGTCCCCCGACCCCTCTAGGGCTCCGAGGCTCTGATCCAGTCCCGGAGCCGCGGAGCGCAGAGGGGGCGCAGGACCGGACGCGCGCCCAGAGAGTCCAGGACCAGGGCGCAGGAGGACCCCGGCGGGGGACTGGGTGTTGGTGGGCAGGACCAGGACGCACGGCTCCCCTCGAGGGATGTAGGTCCGACGGGCTAGACCTAGTGGGGGGCGACGGACCTCGCCAGGCCGCAGGGGTCGGGGAGCATCGGACAGCGCGCAGGTGGGAAAGATGCACGCGGGGCCCTGGACGCCTCCGGTCCTCACCTGCCCTGCAGGTGTCCCGCCGAGTCCCGCGTGTCGCTCTCCGAGGTGGAGCTGTCGTGGTCCACGGCGCAGGCGGCGCTGAAGGCTGCAGCCAGCAGCTCCATGGGGACCGGCGGCGGGGCGGGAGCTGGGGCCAGTGGGGGGCCGCGCAGGGGGCCCGGGGCCCGGCCGGGGGCGACGCGCGGGCTC